CCTTGTATGAGGCACCGAATAGAACTAATTACGTTTCAAAATATGAACCAGGTAATAAGCTCATTAGCGGATGCCTTTACAAGTCAGGATATATATTTTATTATTTTAATTGTCTAGTTTTGAATTATTAAACAAGCATTAGTTTACATTTGGATAGAATGGATTTTTCTTCTTCATTCATGTATATATTATAAAATCATATGAACTTTTTCCGTCAATGCCAATATCAAATTCAAGTTGTCACTACCAGCTACTGTAAAAGAGAGATTATTTGCTAAGTATTGACAAAAAGGGAGGTTGTTACATTCTGCATTACTCTGTGTAAATTACAGCTTTTCACTAAGATAAATTGATAAACAAGATTTTAAGAGCTTACAATACCAAACTAGTGCCTGCTTCTTTCCCTTTGGCATGTATTTTCGTGCTTTAACCTTCACATACCTAATCTTAAATTATTTGAAGGTGCATTTGTGGCCCATCATCACTTTTTACTTCAAACTTATTCATAATGCATACTTGCTATGAAGTATGGACACCTATCTGGAGGTCACGTACAAGTGTTCGACACATGTCAGACACGAACACACTTCGGTCATGTGTCGGACAAGCTGGAAAGAGTTGAACATGCTAGAACACTTCAGACACGTTGAGAAATGCTAGGGACACGCTGAGGACTCTCTAAGGACACGCTAAGTACCATTTGTTTCAGGAAAAAAAAAATTAAAAATTTAATTTTTTTACTAAAATAGCATGCCTGAGGTTGATAAATTTGATAAAATTAAATATTTAATATAAAATACATATTAAATATTTAAAAATATACATATAATAAAAATATATGTTTTAAATGTGTCCCCAACTTGTCGTGTTCTGCATTATTTGAAAATTTACGTATCTGCGTGTTCGTGTTGTATCACGTGTCCGTATCTTCGCTAGGGCTTAGGACTCTCTAAGGACACGCTAAGTACTATTTGTTTCAGAAAAATAAATAAATAAAATTTTTAATTTTTTTACTAAAATAGCATAACTAAGGTTGATAAATTTGATAAAATTAAATATTTGATATAAAATACATATTAAATATTTAAAAATATACATATAATAAAAATATATGTTTTGAATGTGTCCCCAACTTGTCATGTCCAGCATTATTTGAAAATTTACGTATCTGCATGTCCGTGTTGTGTCACGTGTCCGTATCCATACTTCTTAACATACTTGCATTGCATCTATGCATGGCCATCTAATACATCCCCAGTTTTGTCTTTCCAAGATTTGAAATAAGCAATAAACCCTTGCTAATGATAAGCAAACCAAATCAATGGCTATATTTGTGACCAACTCAACTTGGAAAGCCTAAATTCCAACTTCTAGATGTTCATATGCTATGATTGTCTTTTTTAATGGTTGTCCACCTGTAGTAGCCTTACTTTCTTCAGGTTTTGGGACTGGTTGTATTAGAGATGAGACACTAAACAAGAAAGGCCCCAAAATACAAAACATATAGTCATATACAAAGAAAAACTCCTTTCTATATTTTCAGACAACAGCCAATAAATTTAAATACTGAGAAAGGATAGACAAGTGCACAAAAATATTGCATCTTGCAAGTGTAATAGGATCTAGGTTAAGTTAGCAATTTCTGTGAGACAAAACTGTTGGGTCAATGTATTGCAATTTGTGCATGGTTGTAAGGGTAGCTAGGTCAGGTTAAGAATTGTGAAGAGCTATTTGAGATTTGATTCGTGGTTTGTGTAAGATTTCGTTCCATTACACTTGAAGGTAGAGCACTTGCATCACGATTTTGAAAAAACACAAGATTGACCTAGTTTAAAGTTCAAATTTCTTGTTTCAGATTTATGAAAATTTGGTTTTCAAAATATATATATATATAAAAAAAACCGCTTGAGCACACATGAAATTCGTTTGAGCGCACTGTATGCAAAATGGTAAATATTTTGTAACATGTGCTTGAAGGGCTGCCTGACTGAGGGATTTGAAGGTAGAGCACTTGCATCACGATTTTGAAAAAACACAAGATTGACCTAGTTTAAAGTTCAAATTTCTTGTTTCAGATTTATGAAAATTTGGTTTTCAAAATATATATATATATATATATAAAAATAAATAAAAAAATATTAAAAAAAAAACGCTTGAGCACACATGAAATTCGTTTGAGCGCACTGTATGCAAAACGGTAAATATTTTGTAACGTGTGCTTGAAGGGCTGCCTGACTGAAGGATGGCCTGCAGTGGTCTTGAGGGCTCCACCTGAACGAGCTCTTGAAAGCCTGCTTAAATGTCCTATAGCCTGCAGAGATACTACAAGCTCCACACACAGAACTTTACCTAGTTCATGTTTCTATTCTCCAAAACTCATATAAACCATCAGAAATGACCCTAGCAGCCTTTTGAGTTAGAGAGCAACCCTATTCAGCTTCAAAAAAGCATAATGCTAGAAACCCATGTTTCTTTCAATCTAGGAACAAGAGCACACAAGCTTTTACACTTTATTATGTTCTAGATAGAGTTGTTTTTCATAAAATCCACACTTTGGCATGACATACTCAACCATTGGCCATTGGTGATGGACCTGTGTTGAACGGAGATAGGAGCAATAAGCTATGTGGATTACTGTTGAATCAAAAGCATCTGAGAGGATCAGAACCACATGCAGTGGAGAAAAAGTGAGGAGCTTTACAATTACAGGAGACTCAAAACCGAGTAAAGGGTTGTAATTCATTTCATTGAGAGTCTCATAACTTTTGATTCCACAGTAGATTTTATTGGGTTGGATGTGTCCGTTGTTTTTTCCTTCGAGAGAGTTTTTCTCAAGGTTTTCACATTAAATCATGTCACCTTCATATATATGCTAAGAAGCATAAACACTTCTAAGAAAGTGGTGTGTCTATGTCAGATACGCCCAAAACGTGCCCTATAATATTTTTATTTTTTTAGACCTGGACAAGTTTTGGACAATTGGGGGCGCGCACACGTGTTCATTGTTCAGTTCCACTGAAGCAAAAAAACACGTTTGAAAAACAGTGTTTTCGAGTCAAAGTGCAAAAAAATAGCCTCTGTTATTTTTCAGTGAAACATACTGGAAACATACTTTTAATTCAGGTGATTAAACAGATAGTCCAATTAATTATCCAACACTAAATAATCACATGATTTATAATCAACCACACGAGAAAATCCAGAGCTTGCATGGAAAAACCGCAAACCCAAGGGAAAAAAACCTTGGACGCAAACTTCACTGGTAAAAGAATGCAGTATAATGCTTACCAAGATCAATTGATGCAAATATTTGTGTTCACACGACACCCAAAGCAGATGCACATATCCTACCCACTCAACACCCAAAGCAGTTCCCCTAGTTAAATCTGCTACCCACATCTCCAAGACTCACTTGTACCTTCAAATCTTCGCCAACCATGCAAGCCACACAAACACAATCTTCCAAGTCCACAAGCTCGATCAATGAACATGCACTAAATCCAGATGATTGCAAAGCTACCAAAGGAATCAATTCAACACTCTTCACTCACAAGATTTAGAACCAGAAAGATCAATCCAACCTATGCAAACTGTGTCTCAAACCTATGAAAGAAGTGAAGATAGACTATATCAGGGCTCTCTTAGGAAAACTATTTCTCGAGTGTAACCTAAACACAGATGTATATATCTCAATATATAGTAATGAGAAATCCTAAGTGACCAAGAAGTTAAAATTTCTGAAGAAATCAGCTCCAAACATGCAAAACAAGATGTATCAAGTAACATGGGTTCGAACGGTAAGCACTGTTCAAACGAAGAAGCTTCTATTGTAAAATAGAAATCCGTTTATTACAAAATAGAAGGGCCACCAATCAAATGAACATGATCTGCGTTCAAACGGAAATGGTACTTCATTACAATAAAATCAATTCCAGTTGGCTCAATGTTTGAACAAGCATCTAATGTGTTCAAACAATCAACGTTGTGGACCAAACCAACGAAACTTTACAATGTTCTCGTTCGAACAGTACTCAAGCATTCAAACACACACATGATTTTTCGTGTACTGACAAGCACACCACACAGATGTACAAAGCCCAGATAACCAAGTCTATGGGTCCTATAAGTTGAGCCCAATAGCTAATCTAGTCTATAGTCTAAAATCAAATTATATAAGGTCAAGAACACAAAAATAAACCCAACCCAACAAACTACCAAGATGAAAACCTCTAAATGATGTTTATACAATGCACAAGTTTTACATTTCCACTGAAGAAGAGTCTGTCTTTACAATCAAGCCTTGAAACTAAAGTCGACTTGAATGATGCTTCATTACAAAACATATTAGCTTTTAAAATTGCTTGTGTCAGCATGTCCTTGCCGTGTCACGTGTCCGTACTTCTTAGTCACTATGTGATTTGTGTGTGAACATGATTGATAGAATCAAGTATTGACGTTGGCTAAATAAACAACATTGGTAATTTAAGTTGATAAAAGTTTTTAAGGGTTTGTCCAATTCAAACCAAACCCCCCCCCCCCCCCCCGTGAGGTGGTAGTGGTGGTAGGTGATGGTAAATTCTAACAAAAATGATATGTTATTTAGGGGTAAAATTGCGAATTGTGTGAAGCTCGAAGTGTATGAGATAACAAGGTAATGAAATGCATGTGGTAATAAAATTGGGGCATTAGATGTAAAATACAACTCAAAAAATTAAAAACACCAAACATTTATTAGTAGCACAGAATTGGAGAGAGAGAGAGAGAGAGAGAGAGAGAACCAAATCGCAACAACGATTAGGCTGTACTAATCCTTAATAAAATAGTATGTATATGGCTGCAGCTATCTTATTTTTCTTAATACTATAATATCAGACAATACAGATTGTTTTATTCTCTTTCAGTTCCAAACAGTAGAGCTAAAATGCAAGTAACCTTTAAAAACTAACAATCTAGTATGAGTTGGTTAGCAATATTTATATATCCCCTAAATGAATCCTCCATTAATGTGAAAGGTCTATAAAGAAGCTCTTTTACTAATATAAAGTAGCCTTTCTCAAATGATACATCATGGTACATGTCCAAAATCCCAAATATCCTCACCACATGATTGAAAGATATAAAAATTGTTAACTCTTTAACTTATAAATTAGAGCCTGCCAGCATTTGGGTCCTCTCAAGTTCAAATGATAAATGATAATAGATAATATTAGGCACAAGGGACCAAAAGCACTAGAAGTAAGTTATTAGGTTATGTTCTTTTTCATTCACCTGTATATTTAGGAGTTCGCTTCTCAGCAAATGCTTCCAAGCCTTCTAAGCGATCTTTTGTGTTCAAAAGCTGTTCGTAGCACTCTTCTTCCAATGCCAAAGCTGATGCCATATCTACCTCGAGCCCCTCATTAATAGCTCGCTTTGCCATCCTTAATGCCAACGGACCCTGAGAAGAACATGATGTGTTCTTATCAATGTGGAGCATGCAAGTGTAAGAACAAGTATTTTTCCCCAAAGAAGTCAATTTAACATATCTTCTCTTTTGGGGGAGTTAAAATCCATTATTACTAGCTGAAATCCACTTACAGTTGATCATTAGTACATAAAAAGGAGAAATTTGGCCAGTACTTGATTTTACAACAGCCAAAAATCTTCTTTTATTTTAATATATACACCGCACAGTGACGCGAATAATATTAATCATCAGAGGATTGAATTGATCTTGTGAGGTGTAATATCCTATGCCGGAGTCAAAGGTTGAGAGTTATGAACCACTGATGCCATGTTTGAATTGAATATGTATCAGAAACCAATACATGTTAGACACAATCCAATATGCATTGGATGTGTTATATGTATTAGAAAATTATTGAATTAGTTTTTCAGGACTAGATAGAAATAGGATACATTTAGAATCTCGAATATGACGGATGCATTTGTTAAATTACTAGAAAGGGGCCAATAGAAGAAATAAAATGTATTTTTTTAAATAGAACACAAAATAGTAGGTTTATTTTGTGAAAATAAGAAATTTTAAGCGTATATAAAGGTTGATCGACCAACCACCTGATGGGGAAAGCAAACAAATTGAATAAGAAAATATTGAAGATTTGGAATTTTATTTATTTAGGAGTTTAATTTATTTAGGAAGTTGAAACTTTGCGCATTATGCCAAAGGTTAGGTGTGTACTCAATCTTTCTCCACCCAAACACACATTAATGTGTACTAATTGGGAGTTTTTTTTTTTTTCTTTTTTTCTTTTGAAAGTTTAGGATTTATTTCTTAGTTTGTATTTGTTTCCTCATAAGATTAGTTTGATTTACCTATACATATGACTTTTATGTAAGAATTTTGCAGAGTTTACATGAATATTGATTAACTGATATATTGATTCGTATTGTGTTCTTTTCTTTTTCTCCATCTCCTGTATCGGTGCTGCATCACAACCTTTCATGTCTTAGGCAATTCCCTCTCTTTCTAAATCAAAGCTAAGGCAGAAACCCATATAATCAAATTTCTAGTCAAACCTATTGAACTTACGCTCAAGCGTGATTGAGCCTTAAACCTCAAACAAAGCCTAGTCAAACTTGACTAAACCCTTAACCAAAACTGGCCATTGCTCAGAGACTACTAATTTTGAGCAGAACACTAAGTGCCTCTTTCGTAACGCTATATTTACAATTTTCTGTTTATATTTACAAAAATTTTGAAAACTGTAAACAGACACTCATTTGGTTTTTGTTTCCATTTCCAAAGAATTGTAAAAAAATTTGTAAATACGAAAAAGTTTAGTTTCACTTTTCTTTTCTTCTCCCCCATTTCTTCCTCTTTCTCCCACCCATTCCGACCACCCATTGCTTATCACTACCAGCTACCATCGTCGATGACCTCCTCTATCAATCACCTTCGGCCACTGCCTCTTGTTGTAAACCACCTTAGGCAGTTGACCACCGGCCACCATCTTCAACCATTGGCAATCACTTTCGGCCACCACTTCCAATGGCCCACAACCACCTCCGGCCACTGCCAACCACCTCCCACTGGTGGCAACCACCTTCGGCCACCACCTTACGCGGCCGGCAACGACCTTCGGACACCATCTCCGACCGTCAACGAACACATCTTTCACTTGTTTTCAAAACAAAATTTTAAAATACTTGCGTACCAAATATATTTTTTGTTTCTCCTTTTATCCAAAACAAACATAAACATGTTTAGTGTATTCTATAAACTAAAACAATTAACTGTAAATCTTGCCAAAAGGCACCTAAGAATTCTTGAAGAATTTATCAAAAAGTTTTCGATTATCATGTATAATACAATATATAAAATATACACTTGACATATTCTACTATTGTATATTTGCAACGGACCACAGATTGACAAAGAAAATCTGATTTCGTAAGTATAACCACAGACTTCTTGAACGAACAAGAATTCCAATCTATGAAGCACCGACACTTCAAAACAAGTGTCGTATCCGTGTCGGACACGTATGGGACACACTACATGGCGTGTACCCTTATTTAATTAATTTATTTTCAAGGAACACTTTGAGGACACATTAGGGACATGCCAAATTGTCTTTTCCCCCATTTTATTTACTGCTTTTGATAAATGCTGAAAGTTGAATATTTATTATTTTTTTCTTAGATTTAAATACTTAATAGATCATCCTAAAAAATGATATAAACTGTAAATGCTAATTTAAAAGTGCTTTTACAAAAATAAATAAATAAACAAATAAATAAGTTAGAATTAGTTTTTGTTAATATTGATTGTTTGTGGATGTAATATTAATCTGGATGGCAAATAAAAATATATGCAAATATATTTTATTGCCGTGTCTGTGTCCCCAATTTTTTGAAATCGTCATGTCCCGTGTCCGCATCTATGTCCATGTCCGTACTTCTTAGATTCCAATCAATGCTTCTTCACAAATACACATAAATAATAACCACTTCGATACACACTAAAGAATGCAACAACCTTGTGAATCATCATTATAGCACATTGTGAGGACACTCCTTACAAGACAAAAAACCATCCTATGTGAGGGACTCAAATAAAATCACAAAAAGGTCCTGTAAATACAGTATTTATCTTTTTATTTTGAGACCATTATAACCCATACCATTATTCGAGACATGATATACTCATCCAATCTCATCTTACCAAGCCAACACAGGGTTTGTCTGATATTGACTTTGACATGGGAGCAGTTTTGGTCTTACAAGGGATGCAATGTATACTGCCACTTCGCAAAGTCTGACAGGTAAAAGATAACTGCTGATGCCAGGAAATTTTAAGAATCAACATAACTGCAAATAACCCTAAAGGGAAAAACTGTATGATGTAAGGCTCACATGCATCGCACATGGCACCCCAGTTGTATCTAGAAGATTCTGGAGACATACAGACTTGTACCTTCTGATTGATATTCCGAGCAATTTCAAGTGCCTTTAAATGAGCTTCACCAGCAGGAACACAGTGATTGACAAGGCCTGCATCAATGCACCTTTGTTGCTCAGTGATGACTAAAAAAAGTTAAAATTGGAGTAGCTCCCAAACAAACATACCCATTGAAACTGCATCTCTGCCACCAACTTTCCGACCACAAAATATAAGTTCTTTCGCCACCGATATTCCAACCAACCTAGGAAGCCGTTGGGTCCCACCTGCCCTGCAGAAGGTTAAAATTCCATAATAAGGTCATCTGATCAAGCATGAATGCTTTGCTGGAAACTTATTATTCATGCTAAAGAAGGTTGGATATAAGTAGTGTTCAAAAAAATAAATAAATACATGAGCTGCAACATCCTACTAACATGCAATATTGAGCTGGTATGATGCTACAATTCTCCATCAATTATAGGCATGCCAACAGTCAATATATAAAAGATCTAAGGTAAGTTAAAACTGAATTGCATAATCCCTAACCAGCAACATTGAGGTAGTTCCCAATCAACAAATCAACATAACAAAGATTACAAAATTTTAATTGAGATTATAGACATACCCAGGTATTATAGCAAGGCCCGTTTCAGGCAAGCCCAACACAGCATCTTCTCCTGAGTAATTTATAGTGAAACCATCAACTTCTGAAAAGCTTATTAAAAGAAAAAATGAAACATTCATAGAGAATCAAATAAACTTTGAAGCATCAAATACAGAATTACCACAAATCCGAAGATCACAAGATAGAACCATTTCCAATCCGCCACCCAATGCTGCACCTTCAATAACAGCTATAGTAGGGATATGAAGCGCCTGAAGTATTTGTCAATTTTGGTTACGAGTTCTAATAAGAAAAGCATACATAAAACTCCTGTTTATGAATAATAATAGAAGAATTCATAAATGAGTGATGTCAAGTTCACAAATGAGTGAGGTTCCTTCTATTTGTGCCTTCAAGCTGGTTAGAAGATAAGTATCTGTCTAAAAAAATGTAAAAGAATGAAGAGGACAAACCTCCAAGTATGAGAAAGTGGAGCGCAAAGAGTTCACGAAAGCCTGAACCTCAGATGAACTCATTGTCTTCCGTTCCTACCAATCGAATTTACAGCAAAAGCACTGTTATGGAAGTAAACCAGCTGTTAAACAACTACGGTCGCAAGAAATACAATCAACACATGAATTATTTTTACAATTAATACATCAAATATTACAAGCATAAGATCAGTATCTAACATTAAAAATAAATAAACAAACAAACATAGACTATTGTATCAAACTAGTAGACAAATTGCAGAGGGTTAAATTGACAAACAGAACATTTCCCAAATTATCTAGGAAGCACAGATAACAGATACAGGAAATGGGGATGATATGACACAGATACGGTGATGTGTCAATATTTAGAAACTAATATATGGATACGACAAGAATATGTCAATAACAAAAAATTATTTAATGTTTTTATTATATAGTTATGATAATTACAATTTCAAATTATTATTTAATTTTAACAGTTAAAGAAGTGGGCCAATAAAACAACCAGACTTTTCCTTCTTTCTTTTAGCTGAAGTCATGTTGAAATGACTCCAAAAATCACAAAATATGCACCACCTGACCACATAGAAAAGCCAGTTCGAAAGCACTCATGACAGTAGCAGATGAGTTGCCTTCAAAACTCATAAATTATCTCTCTCTGCACCCTTCATATTTCTCTTCCACACGTGCATTCTTCTGTGTAACAATACTAACTGAGTACTTCCTACCCATGGTAATCAAGGTTAATTTATTAATATTTTATTGAGGGATAAGTACCAGATATGGATACTTCAACCTATTTGAGGTATCAGTGCTTCCTAGCAAATTATATTAGGAGAACACCATTCATGAAAGCATACCATGTTTTTAATGAAGTAGTTAAAAGGCAAAATCAACATCACAGAATCCGGTTATAGAAACCAAACAAGAAGTTATTGTATGATGGTGGGCTGGTAGAAAATTCACAAGGTTTAGGAAGGGTAAAAGCGTAAAAAAAGAGCATCTATATTTAATGCTCAATACAAAGTATCTCTTATGCGAGCCAGAGAAAATAAGACATAGGGTATTCTTGAATTCTTATTCCATGACCTGTGTCTAATATGTAGTAGATTGGCCTTCTGACCATTCAACATGCAACCTGTTGTTAATCACTCATCTGCCCTTACACGTTTACATGATCAGTGTGGTGAATACAAATTTGTAGCTGCCCGAGGACCTACTCATTAGTCCGAGTACATTCGTTACTTTCTGCGAAGCTTACTTGAATTGTAGGGATGGCCTCAATATGGTATATATGTCCAGATTGGCCTTCACTTTGATTTAACTGTTTTAAGCAACTCTACTTTTATCAAACAAGCATGAATATTTCATCTCAGTGATGTTTGAGTCATATTCATGGAACACTAATGATTTTTGCAATATTCTTGTAATGAAATTGAAAGTCTTCCTTTCCTTCGTAGAAATCAGTAAAATTATCATCTTCCTATAGGTTACATGGACTCTTCAAAATAAATCAAGTACCAATGTTGGACACTTGACACCTGGAAAAGGTTTTAGGATATGTGCCTCATACTTTCTATCAAATATGCGCTTAGCAAGAACATCCATCAATTTAACTTGCTTATATAATTGTATTTAACATTATAATTATTTGTATTTTTTGTTGCATAATTACTATAAAACAAGTAAGGTGCCTTTTTATCCAAAAAAGGATTAAAAATATAAAAAGTACAATCCTTTTTTGCCAAGTCCACATATCTTTCAATTAGAAGCTTGATGAACCCAAAGGCTCCCTTACCCGATAACCGCATACACGTCCGTGTAACATAGATCTTCCTAGAATAACAAATAGATGATATCCAATGTAAATTGAGGAACAAGAACAAGAAATGGAAGTGGAGGCAAAAAATTTCACTCCTTCTCTCCCCTTGAAAACATTGTCTAGGGGTACAAAGTTAAGGAATGAAAAAATATAAACAAATAAATACATAACTAAGGTAGCGTTTGGTGACATTTACGTTTTTTGTTTATGTTTACAAAAATTTTATAAATTGATTTTTGTTTATTTTAAAAAAAAACATAAACTACAAACACGTTCGATTTGAACAAAATGTTTGAAAAATTTTAAAAACATAAACTAAAGCAAAAAATTTCCCTCCTCTCCCCTTGAAAACATTGCCTAGGGGTACAAAGTTAAGGAATGAAAAAATATAAACAAATAAATACATTACTAAGGTAGCGTTTGGTAACATTTACGTTTTTTGTTTATGTTTACAAAAATTTTATAAATTGATTTTTGTTTATTTTAAAAAAAAAAACATAAATTACAAACACGTTTGATTTGGACAAAATGTTTGAAAAATTTTAAAAACATAAACTAAAAAACATATTTGTTAAGGCCTAAAATATTTATGTTTATTTTTTATTATTTATGACAATAGGATCATACACATTATAATAAGCATCCATAATAACCATATTAATATAATACCAACTATAGATAAATTTAATAACCATATTAATAATGTTCAGAACAGCTAACATACAAACCATAATAATAATATCACCATCAACCACGTGGAGCAGTAAAGCCAAATATAGAGAGAGAGTGTTTGAAAACCTAGAGAGAGAGAGAGAGATCAGGGAAGAAGAAGAAGAAGAAGAAGAAGAAGAAGAGGGTGGCAAGACCTCCTCCGTTATTCTTCGCCGCCGCTGCCGAAGAGCTAAACAAGAAGAAAGACTGAAATCGATCTCAGTTCGCAATCCAAACACTGACCTCACAATCTCAGTCAGCAGATCTCTTTTCATTCTTTCTTTCTTTCTTTCTTATATTTATATATATATATATATATTTCAAAAATTTAACTAAAAACTCTTACTTCTAGAGTCTCCTCATGAGAGGAGTCTCATTGGAAGCTTAGAGAGATTATGAAAGTCTATTGATATTTATAGGAAAAGAAAATTAATTTCTTTAAAGCAAGTGACTTTTTCTTATCAATTTTGATTTTATTAAATATTATTAATAAATACTATGCAACAATTTTTATTTTTATTTGAGCATTTATATATTTTTTTATTTATTTACAATTTATAATTATATAATATTAATTATGACGTCACGGTTTGACCGCTTTGATCCAACGGTTAAACTGGTGACCCGTCCACCGGTCCTTTTTCCGGTTTGCTCACCGGTCTGATTTTCAAAACATTGCTTGCTCCTACGTAGATTCGAACCATGGTCTGTGTTATGCACACCCCAAATTACTGTAGCTCCGCATTTTTGGTGTTTAAAAACCAACGTAAACTCATTTTTTGAGTTTACAATTTTTTTTATCAAATTTACAAACTGAGACCACTAGTTTATAAACCAAAAAATTTACCAAACAAGTTTTTATGATAGTTTTTTAAAGAGTGCTACTATTAGCACCTGTCAAAATTCTTTGGACCCCCCATTTTATAAATTTTTTTTATTACAATTATACCCTAAAGTAAAATTACATTAAAAGACATTATTAAATGGAACACCCACCTATCAATAAGAACTAATACTCTATAATATTGGACACCCACACCCATCCCCACCCCCACCTCCAACTCCACCTATACGTATTCCATGTTTGTAAACCCTAAACATATTACTTTTCATAACCAACTATTATAAATCCTAAATCTATTATTTTTCATAATCATCTTAAATCCTGAATGTATCATCTTCATCACCATCATCAACGCTATTGAACTTGAAAGTTTTGCTTCAAGTATAACGTATACTTCATCACATATTTTACTGTGTAGAGCAATGGAGGACGAGGACAACAATTCTAGTGAGACCGGCGTTCCATTAATAAGTTTATCTATCTTGTATTAACATTCTCAGTCGCTTTCGGTCGTTCTTGTTTCGTTCGAGCTATTCGGTACTAGTTTGCTGACTGTTAGAATTATGTTCAGTAATACAGTATTGAACATAATCCTTTCGTTCAATACATAGGTTCCGAACGTTAATACAGATAATCAGTTATGTAATTTTCTTTGTTAAACTAACTTAAAATGGAAAAGAGTGAATTGGAATGGATTTAAGTTATATATTTTGAATGGATTTAATTCATGTTATTTTAAGTTGTGAATTGGAATGGATTCAAGTTACACAGTGATGAATAAATTTTGTTCGGACATACAGTGCTGACAGGATCATTATTGTTCGACAAAACCGTTCTGAACAAAATACATTTTTTCGGCTACACAGTGGTGAACAAATTCAAAATCATCAATCGAATCTGCTGATCTCCTATCGAGATTCTTAAATTCAGGGTATTTAGATGAAAGCTTTAATCTGGTTCTTCTGGCTTGTCTCCAAAAACCCAGATGTAGAAACTGAGATTCTCAAAGAAATCAATGAGAAATCCGAAGCTCCGATCTACGAAGAAGTGAAAGACATGGTTTACACACACGCGTCGCTGAGCGAGACCACGAGACTCTACCCACCATCCCCATTGACGGAAAGCAAGCTTTAAAGAATGACGTGTTGCCAGATAGGACAGTAGTGAAGAAGGGTATGAGAGTGAATTACCATCCTTACGCAATGGGGAGGTCAGAGGAACTGTACTGGACCAAAGCTCCAAACTCTGAAGATTGAGTGTGTCAGGGAAGGAGAGGATGAAAAATTAGGTGGGTGTGCATTTCATTGTGAAAATATTATGAATATGGGTAGATTTGGTAATAAGTGGGGTATCCAAAAAAATATTATTAAAATTTAGGGTTTAGGGTTGGGGTCCAAAGAAATTGGGGGTCTAAAGAATTTTGGTAGGTGCTAATAGCAGCACTCTTTTTAAATTTTTGTAAATATAAACTGAAAATTGAAAACGAAATGGTTTAATCAACAGAGGGGTGAAAGTGGAAGTTAAATGTGAAGGAAAAACACTAAGAACTACCAACTGATTGATATCACATGCCCATCCATTCCTAAGTAGGTGACAAACACCTGACAAATGGTGTATGACCAAGGGGAGGGAAAATATAGGATAAAATTTTTAAGGGAGCTTCCATTTAGCAACAATTTTAACTCCTTAAACCCATTTTCTTATCACACTCACTTCAAAATTTTAAAATTTTCATTTTAACTCTTTACACCCCTTATAATTCCAAACATATCCCCATTCCTAACCTCCCACCATCTCTTACACCCACATCTTCCTCTCTCCTTTTTTTCTCTCCCCTTCCCCCCCTTCTCACTTCCATTTCTTTCACCACCACTACTAAGGACAACAATAGTGGGACAACCTTATTCTTTTTCATTTTCCTTTCTTTTTTTCTTTTTTTTTGCGTTCAAGCTTTGTTTGGCTAACCAAGGCTGAAATGGCAAAACAAGCAAGTTCGCTAGATTGTTTCCGGCCAAACGAACCAAAATTGGTGAAATTAGTCACATTTGGCCGTAGCTGTCCGAACAATCTTGGTTTGATCATGAACTAGACGTTCAACTTTAGTTTTACAAATAGCACATGTCTAAGGAAACTGATGCTATATCATGAAGGATAGAATTTCGGGGGAATCAGAAAACTTATACCATATCATGAAAGGATGGAATACTGAGGCTAGATTGTTTCCGGCCAAACGAACCAAAAATGGTGAAATTAGTCACATTTAGCAGTAGCTGTCCGAACAATCTTGGTTTGATCATGAACTAGACGTTCAACTTTAGTTTTACAAATAGCACATGTCTAAAGGAAACTGATGCTATATCATGAAGGATAGAATTTCGGGGGAATCAGAAAACTTATACCATATCATGAAAGGATGGAATACTGAGGGACCAAGGATTATGCTTCTTATTAGTTGATAGACGGAATCTTCTTCTTTGTTTTCATTCCAAGAAGCACAAATACTTCTATGAAAGTACCATGTCCATGTTAAACACATGTCGGACACCGACACTTGTCAAACACTCTTTGACACATTACGTCCAAACATGTCCTATTATTTTATTTTATCTTTAGAACCGGACAAACACTATTATTTTATATTTTTTAGAATTGTACAACTCTTTGACACACCACATCCAAACAGGTCCTTTATTATAGTGCATATTGTATATCCTTCATTCTATTCAATAAGTAAATATTACCTGCAAGTCTGTAACTATAATCATATCTGCTAACTTGATTAAAAAATCAGAGATCACATACTACCTTCAAATCAGCACCTGCACAGAACATTCTGGGAACTGAACTACTGATCATTAAAATATTTGCACTAGAATCCCTATTTATAGCTTCAAAGCTGTGCTGCAATCCTCTCAGCATGTCCTTCCCAATGGAATTTTTTGCTCCAGGCCTATCCAATTTAACCTCAATAATTCCTCTAAATAAACCTAAATTGAGGTAGTAGTTGAAAAGAAAAATCAAAGAGAAGATGATCGCTTCAAGGAAATCAAGTACTTAGCATCATAAGATGGCAGTGTCTCAAGGGAACTCAGGCAAATTAATTTGCAAGGAAGAGAACGAATGCTGAATTAAAATATGTCCATTAATTTCCATAAAGGTGCTGCAAGGAAGAGGGAAAATGAACAAAAAGGTATAGGTTATGGCAGTGAAATAAACATATTGAACCCGGAATTTAGCCCAAAAAATGTCCATAGATGGACTGGAGTTTGAAAACAGGATTTTTAAGTTAGCCGCATCATTAGGATAAAGCTTTGTTGAATTAAGATTCCAGTAATTTTGCAAGACATCATTGTATGAACATATCTACATAGCAAAACCCATCGCAAGATGGTCATCACCACTCAACACTACACCCACCCCACCCCCACCCCCACCACGTTTCACTTTTTCTCTCTACCAAACCCACCACCATTACCAGACTCGTCAACACTCACCACCAAGCCACCAATTACCATCCCATACACCAACACCTTCTCTCATGGTTGATTTTCAAAAAAAATCAGTCCACATCAAGCGCCAATTTTTCATTCAAGCCCTAACTCCTCTAAGTATATAGCTTTATTATTGGTTTTATGTGAACTACAATTTCAAACAAGAGAAGGTTACTTTTGTCATTTTGCTTCTTCCATAACCACAGGTCCACGGGAGGCTCTATTTACACATCACTTTTCCTCTCAAGGCAAACCATTAATTAGTTTATTTTTTATTACAATTTTAACCTTAGGTAAAATGACTACAAAGGACAAGTTATGATACACACCATTTGTATAATTACCATAAAGGACAATAATGAATAAAATACTCATTAACAATCTCAAAGGTATTACTTACGTATCTTGTCTCTCAACGATCCAAAAACCCTAAAACAAGAACCAAAAACCCTTAAAGAAACAACCAAAAATATACGTATTATTAAACATTTTGATTGGATTCAATAAATGATTCATCTGGCAATACTGATTTGGAACAATGGACCAAGGAAAAGGTTATTTTTTCTTGTTTTTTTTTTCGTTTTTATTTTCGTTTAGTTGCTGAGTGGTAAACGTTTGTATTAGTTCGGTTATCCAGAGTTGAATAACATATCAATGTTCGACTACCTAAAACCGAACAAATTGTATATGTTCGGTTTCATAATGTCAAACATAATTCAATTCTTCAGTTTTTAAGTATCGAACAAAAACCATTTGTTCGGTTAGAAACAATCAAACAATTCCATTTAATTCGACTCTGTACTGCCGAACACTTATAACATTTTTTTTATTTTTTGGGCTTTTTCCAGACATGTGCATCCATAGAATGCAGCAATGTTGGATCTGGGGGAGATGGAAACAGAGAATGGAGGGGGTGATGGATATATCATGGGTGCGTGGGTGGATGGGGTGTGTGGGTGAGTGAAGGTAAACAAGGACGCAGATTGTGGGTGGGGTGTGTGAGTAAGGGTAAATATGAAAGTTTATGGTGTGTATTAAGTAAAACATTTATTTATCAAAATATTAAGGGTGTGCCTTGAGTAATGGTTTGCCTTGAGAAAAAATATGGTGCGTAAATAGAGGCACCCAGGTCCACATAAGGCAGAGTGTATTTTTCCCATCATAATAAACTCAAAACTATTTCACATCAAAATTACAATAAACATCTGGCCAAAAAAAAAGAGCAAATCAAAACATAATTGAAAAACAATACAATAACATAATTTTCCTACAAAAATGTGGCAGTTTCTCTCATTTCCAAACAAAAGCCTCAAAAAAACATGTCACTACCACCGATAAAAATTAAACCTTTATAAAAGAAAATTCAACAATAAATCGTTTTAAACGAAATTCAATCACAACATCAACATAAAAAATCACCAACAACAAATAACATAATACCTAAACACATTCAAGATACATCAAACACCCTCTGTCACCATGGAATCAAACCCTAGCAGACATATGTATGTATATGTATACATGGGTGTATAGTTATATTACCGGAATCGGAATCGGAGTGTCTGTGAAGCTTTACGCAATCGGATATGCGATCTAAAAGGAGTGTTCTGAGACTCTGATATTGCCATTGAGGAGAATTGAGAGTGCATGGAATTGAATTCGAATTGAAGAGTTGAGAAAAGTAGGGTTTCGAAATTCCCACGGATTTGCGACCGATTGATGCTCCGAGAGTCGAGAGAGTCGCCATTTTTTAAAGTAAGTTCAGTTGAGTGCTCGGGCGATTTGCCGGTGACTCTTGAGAACCGGGAACTAGGGGTGAGTATGGCCGGATTGGACCGGATTGGTAATCTAAAGTTATTGAAACAGATTGGATCGGTTAGACCACGTAGTTATATGATTAAATAACAAAAATATATATATATATATAAACAAATATATATATATATATATAATATTTTAATTTTATAAAAATATAAATATAGCATTATATTAGTTTCACAATAATAACATGTCTTTTTATAATAGTGGCATACTGTTCTAAAATTTAAACAATTATAAGAAAACTGGTTCCACCATAAGTATTTAGACTATTACAAATTAACATTAAAAACTAGCCAACAAAAGTAATAAAAAGAAGATATTATGCAAGTTTAGGTTTGGATTTAAGTTTTATATAAAATAAGATAAGATACTATGCAGGAAGCTGTATAATAAAAATATAGACTATTTGCATACGGTTCGGATCGATTCCCATCCGAAACCGTGGAGTTCAATCCGAAACCAATCCGTAAATTACAAATTTTTAATTTTTCAATCCGGAACCGAACTACGGATTCAAAAAACCAATCCAAACCTACTGGATTGGACTGAACTGGATTAGATTACGAATTTCATGGATTCCTTATTCAGCCCTACTCGGAACGATGGAAAATTGGATAATTTATTATTGCAAATTTTTTTAAAAATAATTATTCATGTAAATAAATTCATAAAAATGTTGCAATAATGTTATTTTTAGAAAAAATTATTAAAAAGGTGTTAGATTAATATATATATATATATATTTTGTTAGTGAGACCTTTTGTAAAATAATTTGATGAGAAATTTTTTTGTTTGAAGTTTCTATTTACATATCATCATTTCTCTCATCCCATCCCATTTTTAAAAAAAAAAAAATTAGGTGGTGTTTGGAAGAGTTTTAGAATTATGATTTGAGAGTAGAGTTGTATTTTAAGTTTGTGAATTTCAGAATTATAATTTGAGTGTGAAAAATTTGTTTGGTTAGGAGTTTTTAAAAAGAGTTTTGAATTGAGATTAGAATTTTTGATATGACATATGATATTTGATATAAAAACTTACAACTTATAACTAAACACACAACTCAAAATTATATTCAAAACTCATAAAAAAAATTTAAAAAAATTGATTTTTTTTATTTAAAATATAAAAAACAACAAGTGTCAATTGCTAAAAAAAATAAATAAAAATAAAAAATATTGTTCCAGTTAACTAGCCGGACGTTCGGGAAGACGACTGGTTAGCCCAAATTTTCCTGCCTTAGAAAAAGTTTTCAAAAGTGGGTATGGAATTAATTTTTGAAAGCTCTAAACAAACAAGACACTCAAAATAAGGGATGAAAATATATTTGCAGAAGCTAACCAGATACAACCTTAATTATTAATTTGCCTCTTAACAAATTACTAAGGAGGACAGTCCACACCAACTCAAACCTCTAGCAACAATTTTCTACCGTTACCCTTGGTGACGACAGCAGCAATGGCAGTGAACCATACTCGAAAGCTCTCTCCACGCTCGCAGCACCTCATCTAGCCCTCTCGATCTCCATTGTCGACCACTACCATCACTAGCAAAGAGAAAGATCTAAATTCGCCTAAAGAAAAAGAAGAAAATATGAAGGGTAAATGACACTTACACTCTCTGAGATTTGGTTTAATACATATCACCCCTAACGTTTAGGAAATTACACTAACTCCCTATCATTGTAATTATTTAGACAGAATAAAGATATTGAACTCATGCATTCTCTCTTTTCTTTCTTTGCTTTACTCTTTTTTTTTTTCCTTTCCTTTGCTTTACTTTTTATTTTCAATGTAATTTTATCTATTTTTCTACTGGGAGTTGTTGCCTTTTATATAAGTAGGGGAGTTTGTGAAATGAGATTATTAACCACAAGGGTGAGAATGTAATTTCCAAAACATCAACGGGCAGTATGTAATTGGACCAAACCTCTAGAAGTGTCAGTGTAATTTACCCAAAGATGAAAGAGGGTTGGCTATGGAGGCTGCAATGAGAATGTTGACACCATTAGCTTTTCACCTCCGCTTGTTGTCTTTGTACCACTACGACAATGACTTCCCTCTCCGACCATCATTACAACCCCTTAGTCCATCTCGTAGACCCCCAATCACGTTTCCCCACCACCATCGCCTTCACAACCACCACCATTACAACCTACATCGTCGTGACCTACTATCTTTGCGATTTATATGGTGCTACCAAAGAAATGAAGAGAAGGCTAGGAGCGGCAATAAGAGAGAGGGTTGCGATAAGAAGGTGGTGATGGAATGAAGCAATGATTGGAAAAAAAGCTGCAGCAAAAGACTGTAGAGAAAGAGGCCGCAGCGCGAGAGGGATAATGACTAGGAATGGGGGTCATTGGAGGAAAAGACAGCAGGCGGTGGTTAGGGTTATGGCTCCGACACTAACAATAGACGAGGTGGCGATAGTTTATGATTAAGGTTAGTAAAAAAATGATGAAGATGAGGATATTTTAGGAATACAGTGGTATGAATTGAAAGAATTTTTATTGTGTGTTGTACAAATTAAGAAATTGTGTGGGATAAGAGAAATGTTGGTGTGTAAATAGAGGATCCCCATTTTGTTTATTTTAAAGGACATTTTATTTCCAATTTTATACTAAAATTTATTTGTGACTTTTTTATCTATTTATTTTTTTTACCATCTGTTCAAATTTATATCTATCCGTTTAGAATATTTTCTATCTGTTCAAAGTTATATTTATCTGTTCAAATTATTTTTTAGAAGTTAAAATTTTATATCTATCTGTTCAATTTTTTGACTGTCTGTTCAATTTTTTTTGCTCTATATGTTTAAATATTTGTCCAAATTTTACTATTTATTCAATTTTTTATTTATCTGTTTAAATCTACCTATCCTAATTTTATTATCTGTTTATTTTTTTCTGAAATTCTATCTTTCAAAATTCTATCTGTTAAAATTTTGATTATAACAATTCAAAATCTATCTGTGTGAAATGCCATCTATTTGAAATTCTTATCCGTTGAAATACCGAGCCAGAGAAAATCCTATATGTTGAAAATATAGCGCTCAATCAATCCTATCTATTGCAATACCAAGCCAAACCAAAGCCTAACAACAACAACACATCAATAAAAAGAAGAACAACAACAACAGATCAACAAGAACAGCAACAATAGATCAATAAAAACAACAACAACAATCAACAAAAAAAAGTATCTGGATGGTAGTTAGGGTTTCTGTTCCAGACACAGTACCTTACTCTCATTTATAGATTTGAGTCACTATCATCATCATCTCAGTTGAATCGACTGACAGATGGCTAGAGAGGCGCGCAATTCTGCTCTCCACTACTACTACGAAGCTTGTGACGACTGGGTTCTCATTTTATTTCTTTTTCTTTCTTCTTCACTCTGTTTTCATTTTGCTCTCGTTAGGTTTGAAACGGTCAGAAGTTATTTTCAATTAAAGTTCTTGTTCTTGTTTTCGTCAGTATTGAATTTCACTTGTTCTGGAGGGTGCACGGTTGAGTCCGGAGTGCCTGGGAGGATGAACCTGAATTTCTGGACTGTTGGGCCAGAGCCGCACGTGCCGGGGGTGAGGCCGCACGTGCGAGGAGAGGGGAAGGTTCTGAAGATTGCACACTGCCTAAAAGACAGGTGCGGGCTAAGGTGTGGTTGGGCCATCGCACGTGCGAGGGTGAGGGCCGCACGTGCGGGGATGGACGCCGCACGTGCAGCAGTCTGGGCAGCTCGAAACTTTGTTTTTTTCTCTTTTTTTGGCTGTGTATCACATTTTAGGCATTTCCTTCTCACTCTAAACCCTATTTTTCTTCTTATTCTCTCTAAAAGACCTCTTCAAACATTAAAACTCTTTGATTTTTGCAATTCCTTGGATCTAGATTCATCATCATCATCATTTCTCCCTCTCAAGCTTTAGAGGTCAAAAGCTAGAGCTTCATTTGTGGTGGTGGGAATTAAAGCTCTCTCATCCTTGATAATAGGGTTTCACTTATATCTTCATCAAGATTTGAGGTAGGGATTTTTTGAGTTATATATACATGTTTTGCTAGATTGATGTTGATATAAAGATTTTCTTGAAGTTGTTATGTGGTTTTTTGGTGTTGTGGCTAAAATGTAGAGATTTTCAAAATGTGGGTTTTAAAAATCTCTAACTTTTCTAAAGATGATATCTAGATAGTGAAACCCTCTTAAATTGAAACATGGGGTGTTACCATGAGTCCTTTTTCAAGTATTTAATGTGTGTGTTTTGTAGAGAAGAAAACCTAGAAAATTGGGGTTTTTCTTGAATGAAAGAAAATGAGGGTTTTATGGTTGCCATTATATATAAATTCATAGTAATGTGCCATGACAAGTGTAGAAAGTGGAGAATTTCCTTGTTGAACTATAAATGCTTGTATACAATATAGTGGTGTTGGATTTCCCCACTCATGAAAAGTTTTGGGGATTGGGAGTGTTGTTAAATATTTGCAATATCACTATGAATGGTGAAAGTAATGGAAGTGTATGGATTGTGGGCATGTTATTGTAATGGTGATGATTGGCAACGAATTTTGGGCTATTTGTGGAATAGCATTGGAAGGAGAAAAGGAATTTGATCATTATTACGTATTATGGATATTATGTTGAAAAACAAGCAATTATGGCATTGCACATTCGTTCAAATGATTATTACAAGATTTTTATTTAGCTTTGGCATGTTGCATAAACATTTTTGGCATCTATTGTTACTAGTGTAGAATTGAGAATTGAAATCTTTTGCATGAGAAAGGAATAATGTGCAATACTATTTTTGAAATGTTATGGGGTAAATACGTTGGTAAGTCCGGTTAGGAGGTGTAGATGAATTTGATAAGTTGGCCTGAGTGTCCAGGTGAAAGACCGAAAACACGCGCGGATGAGGTACCACTTCCCTTTCGGTTAGCAACCGGTAAAGTGGGGTTATTGGTAGAGCTCGTTGAGCCCACTTGCAGACACCAACTTAGGGATTACCTAAGTTGTATTTACCACCCCTATTAAATTAAAATTAGAAGTTTTCTTTTGGAAATTGTT